CACGAGTGAGGACAAAGTGCACGGAAAAGGCTAGTGGCGGTTTGTGAGGACAGTACTAGAGGTCAGAAGTAACTACCTCGGGGCCTACGGGGCCGGGGTGTCACACTTGTGTTGTCATGCTCTTGGAGCACATGCTTCTGTTGTATATTTCTGTAGTTTTGGTTGCACGTGCATTGTCATATATGTTTGTAGGTTTTGGCCAAAATGTATTGGATGGGCTCTGTTAGGACTGTGATCCATGATATTCTCATGGGCAACCTAACCCTTCCATTTTGAGGTTTAAGCAATATGTTTGTTCGATGTGGGTATGAATGACGTTTTATACCCCTTGTAGATCGCCCCTTGTAGATCGCCTAAATATCTGCGTGATGTTATGGCATAACATAGTCCTGCATTTATCACAAAACGTCAAGGTTGGCCGTTGGTTTTGGGCCAACGGCCCTCCGATGGTTAAGTCAGTGATCACTTATAGATAAATGAAAGTAATAAATTAAAAGTATGTATACAAAACTCGAGAAATATTTATCATCAGAATTTGTCTATTATCAGACGACATGCCCCCTTGTCCGACGATTTCAATCATCTCGTCACCGAAGTGACTCGTCGCAGAAGAGACTCGTCGCGAAAGTGTTTCGTCACGGAAATGACTCATCATGAAAGTGATTTGTCACGGAAGTGATTCGTCACGATATTGATGACAATACGTAAAAGAAAGTAACAAATTAAAAACGAAACAACTTTAAGGGTATCATATTGCAGCTCTTTTGAACCTATCTACCATCGGACGACATGCCCCCCGTCCGAGGTTTCAAATCATCTTGTCTTGTCCATCTCGTCATGGTGTGACGACTCATTCCTCAGGTCTTGAATAAGGTTTTCCAGACTTGTAATCATGCCTCCTGGGAGATTCTGATTTCCTGTGCCCCCTTCATACTCAACTTGTCTGTGACGGGATCGTAAGTCTTCTTCTAGACGGATGAAAGCTAATGCCTTCGCTTGGACATCTTTGAAGGATCGACAAGGGTGTTTCGTCAGTTTGTGGTACAGCTCTGAATCGTCATACAAACCTCTTATGAATGCTTCAATGACGGTAGAGACGTCACATTTTGGGATCAACACCTTCCTTATGTTGAATCTGTGCAAATAATCTCTAAGTGATTCACCATGCCTCTGTGTTACTTGATAAGAGTCGTTGGTCCGTCTTTCCAATACCTTATTGCTCGTGAACTGTCGATTGAAAAAATTGACGAGTTCAGAAAATGAACCAACGCTCCCATTCAGAAGATTCACGAACCATGTCAAAGCAGGACCGGTCAATGTCACGCCGAATCCACAACACATACATGCCTCTCTTTGTTCAGGTCTAACGGAGACGGTCAACATCACTTGCTTATATCGCGCGATATGTTCTCCGGGATCTGTGGTTCTGTCAAAAGGCTCCATGGTTGGTACGCCAAATTTATTTGGCAGTTCGACACAGATGTTCGAACCGTCAAAAGGTGAATCTTCATAACACGTTTGAGACGCTATGTCAAGTGGAGGGGGAACTCCAGGAATTGCATTGATTCTCTCCTGCATTTGTCATAGCTGGTCCATTATCATTGACGTTGGGTACGTCATGCCTGCTTGAATTGGTCCCGCCATTGAAACTGTAGGTCCGGCCACCTGGGTGATTTCCGGACAGGTTGGTGACAGAATGAATATGACTTCTGGACGTCGTCCCCCATGATTTGGATCCGTCGAAGTGATTGATCTACACGGCCGTTCTGTCTGAACTTTAGGTAGTGGGTATCCAAAGATACCCCATCTGCGGTTTTGCACAAAACTGGACAGATCGGGCTCTCCGTGAGTCCTGCTTCTGTAGTGAGGGTCAGAAGGTTCCGCCAGCGCTGATACAGCGGAAGCCATCAATACGATTTGAGTGGCTGAATGCAGGCCTGTCGTTCTTGGTCCGAGACGAAGGGACTCTGGAAAGAAACAAGTTGGTATGCTGGGAGCGGGAGTTGTCTCAGGGACGAGAGGTGTATAGGGTATGACCTGAGAATTGATGGTGGGTTGCGAATCTCTAGCAGGTGAAAGGCCCAATGTGAGGGAGACAGGTTCAGTAGTGACAATGGGTGATTCCGTCATCGCCGGAATGGAGCCCAACTCCAACCGCGTAACGACGGGCATGATGTCGTTCCTCCGGTTACCTCTAGAATTAGAAGCGATTGACACCGCTGACTAGACTCGGGATCAGAGCAGATCATTCTCCCGTTGAACGTAGGCCATTCGTTCCGCCACCTCTCGTCGGATCTCTTCCTTTGCCGTCTCTAGTTGCGCATGGAATTCCATCAACAAAGGATTGTCATCGGCCATGCTCAATGATCCTTCTCTTGCACGAGGCCAAATTGTTTAAGCAATTTTTTGATATGCTGAAACTAACTAAAAAATAAAATTATATGAAGAATGAGTCTCGTACAAGAATAATAAGGGAGATGACAAGTGACCAAATAAGAGTGTATTTCAGTGTGTTGTTCAAGTGTGAAACTCTGGATTACAATGGGGGGATATCCTATTTATATGAATGGTAATTAATGGCCAGTTGTCCGTTACTGACGGTTTGGCTGTTCCGACCCGACAGTTTCACAACTCGTCATTAATGCTGGCCAGCTCAAATCGAGTAACCTCCAGCGTTAATTACATTACTAGTTAAAATAATAAATACAAATTCGTTATACCAACCATCATTAAGCCTCATGAACGTATCATTAACTTCTGCGGTCAACCCTCTTTAATGCCACATAAAGCATCAAATTCTTGCTCTAACACAGTCTACTTCATTCAACTTGCAATTCAGATTCATCACTTCATAATTCAATTTCAGACATTAGTCTCTCATTAAGGCAATAGTCATAAATTGAGATATTAGTCTCCAACTCTAGCTCGTTGTACCAAACATAACCTAAACCAAACTTTAATTGCAAGAATAAGAGTATACTTAATACTCTAATTAGGAGTAACTTTCCAATCCTTCCCTTGTTATGTTGTAATGCAATTTAAATTTTTATTAATAAATGAGACATAAAAGTAATAAATTAATTTTATTTATAATGAAGTTTTTTTTTAAAAAATAAAAAACATGAAAATAAATGTTAATTAAAATTAATAAAGAAAATTAGAAAAACAAATTATAAAAGAAACTTAAAGAATAAAAAACCTAAAAAAATATGCAGGGCTATGCCGGTAATGCCGCCGCCTCAACCACCTCCTAGACCCACTAGTTTCGACCATCGGGAAAATAAAACCATGCATCAGTAATGCCATCTTGATGATGGTGTTAGATAAAATTTTGGCATTTTCAAAAATAATAATGCTATCTTCATAGTATTTTTTAAAAATGAAATTTTATACAAGGTGACAATTTCCACCGATCGGAGGTGACAAAGGCAGTGGAAAAGGTCTCCATATTTTTTAAAAATATTTTTATATGTTTTATCTATTTTGTATTTATTTTTAAAGTTTTCATTTTTTATAATTTTTTTATAAATTTTAATTTTTAAATATTTTAAAGTTTTTGTTGATTTTTTATAGATTTCTTACAATTTCACTATAAAATAAATTATTTTATAGGTTTTATGTTTCGATTACAAATAAAAATATGACTTTTTATTAACTTATAATTAAGATATAATAGAAAGATATATGCCTCATTTGGCTAATGCGCGTTTTGTCTAGAACGCTGATTCCTTTTTAACTACAAACGCTGCATTTTGCAACATGTAGACACCAATCCACTAAAAACAAGCGATGCCTATATATACTTGTACATTTAGGCTTTTAGAGCCTGTTGGTTGATTCTGCTGAAATTTATAAAGTTATGACTGAAGTGGTTGCATTGATTGATTCTGTTGATTAATGCAAAAAATTATATTTAAAACACATTTATTAATTAAATAAAGAAAAAATATATGAAAAATAGCGAAAATGATCCTCTACAATATATCCAGCTAATATAGTCGAAAAATTAACTTTAAACTTACTTTTTCTTATTATTACCTATTGCAACTCTCAAAATCAAGATGTTTGATGCAAAAGTTTGTTGAAAAAATACAAGAGAAAAGGGTCAAATAAAGGCTTCTACTATTGTAAAATCGTCGTATAAGGTCATGTACTGAATAAAGTATCATATAAATACATTTACTTATAAGCAGCAATCAGATGAGTCATAATGACTTGTTGACAATCTCATAATCTCGTTTTTAGCGTACATTTGACTATCTTTTTAAAATAGATCATAAAGTCTACGTGAAATATTTGGCCAGGATTGACTTAAATACAAGATAAAAGTAATGACACGTAAGTTAAACTCGGGATTATGAGGTTATCAACGAGCCGTTTTGAATCATACGATTGTCTTTTAAAAGTAGATGTACTTATATGACACATTATTGAAAAGATACGTATTCTACTCTTGGAATTTTCCCTATTCCAATAGTAGAACCTTGTTCTACCCTTTTCCCAAAATACAATTCGAGCCCGTTTGGTAACACTAAAATTGGCTGAATTGGCTGATTCTGTTGAAATTTATGAAGTTCTGGCTGAAATGGCTGTATTGGCTGATTCTGCTGATTAATGAAAAAATTATACTTAAAATATTTGTTATTAATAAATTAAATAAAAAATTATATGAAAAATAGCTAAAATGATCGTCCACAATAACTTCAGCCAATACAGTCAGAAAAGTAACTCCAAACTTACTTTTTCTGATTATTACAAACTTTAGAGCGCGAAATCAAAAGTTACGTGTTTGATGAAAAAACTGCCTGATAAACCTGATAAGCGGAAAGAAAGGGTCACCAAAATGGCTCATATTTTCGCTATTTTTACCAAAAATAGCGAAAATAGCTCATATTTTTTCGCTATTTTTACCAAAAAAAGAAAGGGTCACCAAAAAGAAAGGGTCACCAAAATGGCTCATATTTTCACCAAAGTTACGTGTTCTTTACTGCTAATCTGCTATTTTCGCTAAAATTTCTGGCCGAGGGTTTTGAAAAAAGAAGTTACTCCTATTTAGAGACAAAAATTGCAGTTTATTGAGGGTGGGAGAGGACCATCCTTCACCAGATCCAAGGAATTGTATCGTGCGTATACTCTTCTGGGAAGGGAGAAAGTGAGAAGATGAGTGGCAAAGGGAAACTTATCAATGGCGGCGGCGGCGGCGGAGTTGGGGTTATACCCGCGGGGTCTCGTAAGATGGTGGAGAGTTTGAAGGAGATAGTGAACAACTATCCAGATTCTGAGATCTATGCTGTTCTCAAAGAGTGTAATATGGACCCCAATGAAGCCGTCAATAGGCTTCTCTCTCAAGGTCAATTCTCCGCGATAAACCTTAAAGAACATAATATTTTTTAATTTCACATTGCCTTATGTAAATGCATCTTGAATTTTGAGGTTTTTACTCTGTTTAGCGTATTAGTTTCCCTTTATCTTGCGGCCTAATTCAAGACTGAAAAAATCAAAAGTGTTCAATGGCATTCTCCCAACTATCATTTTTCAAGTTCAGTTCTGTAAAAAATGTTCTTTTCATAGAGGGAGCTTTTTTTCTTTCTTTTTTATGTCAAGATTTTATTTATTTTCTATATCCTCAATTTCTTTTGTGAGTCAGTTGATGAATGCACACACTAACTATCATTTTATTTTGGTTATATTGAATTATGATCTTTTGGGTGGGTGGAGAGTGTCTCCTTACTTTATTGCTCTACCAAGGTAATTTTTTTCTTGATTACCATGGTAAGAGAACACTATTTTTTTATTGACTATTACAACTTATGGGCAATGTTTATTGCAGAATAAGTACCAATTCGATCTCATGCATCTTGTGTTGTTAGTTGTTGTGCATGTTTTATTGAAACCTATTGACTGCTTGAATGACTTATCTGTCAGGTTTGATTATAATTTTCAATGAAATGGCTCTTTCTGTACGGTGCATTGTTTATGACATCTTTGCCATATTTTTTCCCAATGCATTGCTATGTAGCATGTGGTACAAATTTAGTTGACAAATTGAGTTGCTCAATGCTTGAAATTGAGTATTGCATATTTAAGATGGTTTCTTAACATTGCTTATTGCGTAAGCCTCATTGCGCAATGAGGCATAATACCCATTTTACGCAAATTTATATTAAAAAATACAAATAATGTAGTAAAAAATAAATTCAAATAATCATTAAAAGCCAACAAATATCATCATCAAATCGAGAAAAATGAGGTCATAAAACCAACTAACTATGGACATAGATGCATCTTACCGAACAAATTTCATATTATGTACCAAGTTACCAACACAATAATCATGATTATACTTGTGTTTGTCAATTTGTGTTTTTACTTATCCAGTTTTCATATGAACGCTAATTAAAAAACAATTTAAATAAGAAAGTAAATTTTTTTGTCCAGCCCATATATATGAAAAACAATTCATAAAGTTAAAATCACGAAACTGCTAGCCCGCTTCATATTCTGCGTTATTATTAAAATCATCCTGCTGCTCATATCCGTATGATTTGTAAGAAAAAATAAAAATAAATTAAAACCACACCTGCTTGTCATGAAGTGGTGAAGAAACAAAATAAATAGAAATTCTCGCAGCCTTTAGCCTTCGCGGAGAACTGCTGAAACACAGAACCCAGAACTACCCTTCACAGCTGTCATTGCTCATGTCTTTCAGCACAGCCGCCGTTTCTTAGAGAAGTAAACTTGCAGGCTAGCAGCAGAAGTAAAGTCTTAGAAGACTCATATATGTAATCTTTAAAACATATTTGGGCAATTGGGCTTAATTTCAGAAGTGGGCCCAACTTCAGGTATACTCATGTAGAAGAACTTAATTCTCCACAGGAATGCTTCTACTAGATAAGGCGCTCCTCAGAAAGTGCACGCACTATTGTGAATGCAATAGGCGTACGCCTCTGGTACAATTGCTCAAGTTTCAGTATTGCTTATATTGTGATACGCATACGCCTCCCATCGTAAATAGGTAAAAAATCTTAAGGCATGCCTCAAGGCAGTACGGCATTGTGCAATTTAAAAATCAAAACAGTGGAGTTACTTATCTATCCCAGATTGTATGTTATCTTACAATGACAAGTTTCATTCTGTTCCAATCTGTGTTGGATGCCATGGTTATTGGCTATTGCACTGTCCACTTTGAGTTCAATTTCAGTCACAGAAGCATTTGTTATAAGCCATTATTGTTGATGCATGGGGTCATTCATTTTAGGTCTTGATGGCCTTATTTAAGGTCTTCTGTTCAGCACTGCAACTTCTTCTTTTCTTTGGGCACATCGTTCCCCTTCTTGCTCTGTAGTACTTTGTGTTTACAATTTGATGACTAAAATTGTTATGAATATAATTTTCCTTTTTATGATTGAACTTCTTCCTAATGTGAGTTTTTTATGGACTAGATCCTTTTCATGAAGTGAAAAACAAACGGGAGAAAAGAAAAGAGGTGCGTGGTTTTATAGAAGTGTACATACCTACATCTGGAACTAATTACGACTCCTCCGTATTCTTTTGATAGCTACAATAGGGTTTGACACTATATTTAAGGGAAAAAAGCAGGGGTAGTGAATACAGAGGGAGTATGTAACTAATGCTTTACTTTTTTATTCACCTTAATATGTTCCCATTTATTTAATAATGGGTGAAATCTGGAAAAGTAAAATGCATGCGAGGCAGGAAATATGACTTACTTCCCACTCAATCTTTCTGTGGACTAAAATTAGATCTTAGATTGGAGGTATAGAAGCAGCAAAATTCATAATGTTTTATTTTGCATTCATTTGCAAAGGTGTTAAGCTCAAAGTAGGAGGATTCATATATGCTTTGTGTCTTCCTTTTTGGTCTTATCTTCTCTTGTTTTGTCTCTTCTATGTCTCAGAATAAGGATTTTACTGACTCTAGGCCACGTAATGGTAGTAGTTTACTCCGTGGAGGCAGGGGTGGTGCAGATCGGTTTGTTGGGCGTGGTTGCTCAGGTATCTACATATTGAATATTTGTCTTTGCATAGATCGACTAACTGTTAGGTTGAAATAGTGCATAAAACGATCTGATTCATAGATAAATGCTGTTACTGTTGTCATGTTCTTTTATAGAGTCTACATTGCATGCAAAATATACTTCTGCTTCTAAAAAGGACAATGTGCCTAGTACAACATTAGCTACTGGATATGCTGGGAGCAACATACATTGGCAGCCTACAGCCACCAGGTTAGTTTTGATGAAGTTCCAAATTCAACTAATATGATTCCATGATGCTTTTAATGGAAGTCTTGTGGTGATTATTCAAAGATATTTCCTATGTTAAAATCACTTGCTCCCTTTGTCCATATATATTCCATATACTTTCCCTTTTGACCTATCCCGAATTTATCATCATTTCTTTTTTCACGAGAGCATTATGTGGCTCATATTATTTCTCTCTTTGTAAGTAAGTTTTAACCACACAAGTTTCATTTTTTTAAATTCCGTGTTTGGTTGAACTCGGGGTTATTTAGGGACGAAGGGAGTAAAAAGTGTCGGCAAATTCTGATTTCAAGCAAATACTTATCTGCAGCCTCTTAGTTGCATGCCACCTAATACTCCCTCCGTCCCTCATAACTTTGCCAACTTTCCTTTTTTGGTTGTCCCAAATACTTTGCCACTTTCCCTTTTAATCAATCAATTTGTGGTTTTTGTTATTTTTCTCTCCTCTGCACAAATGTCTACCACACAGTTTTTACTTTATTATTCTACGTGCCGGTCAAACCTGGCAATCCTTTTAGGGATGGAGGAAGTAGTAATTTATCAAAGTGAACCGAAAAAGAGTAGATAAATGTTACTACCTCCGTCCCGTTGAAAGGTTCCTATGACAAAATGGCATGGTTATTTAGACAATAATTAAATAAGGTAATTCGAGTATATATTGAGAAATAATTTTAGAGTTTTTTCAGAAATATTACTAAAATAAAATTTATTTACAAAAATATGACTAATAGTTACTACAATGTAGTGTCATAGTAACTTAAGTTAATAAATTGATCATAAGTTACTATGATTTCATTACCACTCTAGTCACTAGTCACATTTTTGTAAACAATCTTTGTTTTAGTCATAAATATGTAATTATTTCATAATTTTAATAGGTATGTAATACAATGGGGTTGGTTTTGATAATTGTGATGTTATAAATGTATTATTTTTAATATTTGATGATTAATTGTCATTTAAAATGGGTCGCCTAAAAAAGAAAAGTGAGAACCTTTCTACGGGACGGAGGGAGTACTTGACATTATTAACTTCTTTCCATTATAGGTAGATGTACCCGTTTTTAGTTTGGAGCTCTATTTCCTTACAGTTTCTCACTACACCTGTCCCTTGCCAAGAGTATAACCGAGCCTGTAGGCTGTAGTATAAATGAGCCGCGTCCGAGGCTCAAAGCTTAGCATTCTCTGTTACCTTCTATCTTGTTTGTTTTATGAGTAAAGCTAACCACAGCCCTCATGGCATTGGCTGAGAAATCAAAATAAAAAAAGAAATCTTTTATTGCAAATCATGTTCGAGGGCATTTCAATATCATTGGTGGGTTCATTTTTCCATTTGTCAATAAAAGTCTTTCCCTATATTGTTATCTTAAATGATTCCTGAAGGGCTGTGGTTAGACTCAGCACTATCCTTGTTTTATTTCGTAAATCTTTGCAATAAGAACCTGATTTTAATTGAAATTTGTGAGGAAAAAGGGGCAAATAAGCCCACGTACTAACAAAAAAAGGTCAAATAAGCCCCTATATAGGAGGCTCTGTCCGGCCGTCGCCATTAGGGGCAGTTTCCGGTGGAATATTTTAACGATTTTTTTGAGAATCTTATTCATCAAGTCTAGTTTACTCATACCAAAATTTAGCTAACAATTCAATTGGGAAGGCATTCAAATAAATTCTTGAAGATAACTGTGCTTTTAACTGTGCAATTATCTTCAAGAATTAATTTGAATGCCTTCCCGATTGACGTTTTAGCTGAAATTTGGTATGAGTAAACTAGACTTGATGAATAATACGCTCAAAAAATTGCATCAAAAATTTCCACCGAGAACCGCCCCAAATGACGACGGCCGGACATAGCCTCCTATATAAGGGCTTATTTGACCTTTTTTGGTTAGTACGTGGGCTTATTTGCCCCTTTTTCCAATTTGTGAACATTTACCGTTGACACTCATATTTCCTTTTTTGCTTCCCTGGGGGGGGGGGGGGGTATTTTTAGGTGTATGCTCATGTAAATGTATGTTTGTATAATGAATAAGCTTGTCAATCTACCTTGATGGTTCAATCTACCTGGATGAGTTGTTTTAATATGCATCTTGAACAAATATACATTGATTCTTACCTGTTTTTAAATGAGAGAATTCCCTAAATAGGAGTAAAAAAGTTTTGAAATTCCAAAATAGGAGTATCATGTTTTTTATTCCTTGAATAAGAGTAAATTTCTGCCAAGTTTGGCATTACTAGGCTTTAAAACATGGCATTTTTTTTCCAAACTTGGCAGATTACTCCTATTCAGGGAATAAAAAACATGATACTCCTATTTTGGAATTTCAAAACATTTTTGCTCCTATTTAAAGCAATTTCTATTTTTAAATCTATGCTAATGTTTTTTTTTCTATTTTAATCTTGTATGTACATGTTTCAGTAATGTCCTTGGTAGTGAAAACAAAAACTCATTGGCTGTTTCAACTGATCATATTTCATCAGCCCTACATCCTTCTACTGGACATCAAACTTCTTGGGTGAGTGTTCCGGGTCAAGTATCTATGGCTGATATCGTTAAGATGGGCAGGCCCCCCACTAAACAAAATGTCAATTCCAACCACAACCATGATCATGGACATTCCTACCATGCAGCACATCATTTTTGCAATGATCATGCTTCTAGAAATTCTGAAATACACTTGGACTCGGGGGCATGTTCTATTCAACATGATTCAAATAATAGCGATGAGTGGCCCTTAATTGAGCAGCCACCGGCTTCTATTTTACATCATAACTCAGAGGCTGCTGTAGAACCTCAACCATATCCAGGCTCTTCTAATGTGGCCTTTGATAGAAGTAACCAACATTTCCAAGTAGATGAGGTTCAGGAAATAGAAGATCATGGCTTAAACATCAGTACAAGACGTATGCCATCATCTGGTCTCATTCCTGACAGATTTTCAGAAGACAGTTCTGGACTTCAGTCCCAGCAAGACAATGACAGTGACACTTATGGACACAAGGATCATAACAGTTCTTTGGTGGTGCAGGAATGTGAGTATACAGCTTACCAGTTGTGCCTTTAGAACGTTGTTTGTGTTACTATACCTAAATTATTGCCTTCACCAAAGGATCAAATGTTTTCAACTATATCTATATCTATATATATATATACATACATACACACACACACACTTCATATATGGAGATGGCGGGCATTTGTTAGGGTTTTCATTGATTGAAGTAGGCGGAATTTTATTTTTATTTTCTCCTTAGCGTTTTTATTTTTATTTTTCTCATTGGCGTTTTTACTTTTCATTGGCATTTGTACCTTTTAAAATAATTTCAATAAAACTCGTAAGAGCTTCTCGGCTCTTACCCCATCGTTTTGGGTGGTTTTTGGGCTATATATATATATATATATATATATATATATATATATATATATATATATATATATATATATATATATATATATAGTGGGGGAGAGAAATCAACTTCAGACACAGACACATTTTCTGAACATGGCTTAGTGTCTTGTTTAGGACATCTTTCTTAGCATGTCATTTTAACTTGTACTGAGAAGGACTTTCTTTTTGAGTATGATTTGATTTGAATATACAATAATTATATCTAAAATCCAGTAAGACAAATGATAGTCGACGATTGAATAGAGGGCCTAAATGATTATCAATTTGCTCTACACATCACTGTTAATAAAACTCTTTTGTACTTATTGGTGGGTGGGTTTTGAGAGCTGGCTGTTATGAACATTCCTATCATTTGCATGACATATTATGTAACATTAGATTCTTTGTGTGAATGAATACTATGTTATATAGGAATGAGAATGCGAGCACTTGTACTCCTGCTTTGTACTCATTTCCACTGACATCTTTGATAGTTTGTGATATAAACCTTGTGCTTCTTTTTTGCTGTATGTATTTTATTAGTTCAAGATGTAAATGCTACAGTTTCATTAGCTGCTGAAAAAATGCAACAACTGACTATACACAAGGATCACGCTCCACCTGAAGAGGAGGGGCCTTCTGTTGTTATTCCAGACCACCTACAAGTTCAAATTGGAGATTGTTCACATCTGAGTTTTGGTAGCTTCGGGTCTGGAATGAATGCCACTCTTTCTGGTCATTCAGCATCTTCTCCGTCTAAAAATCATGTGGAGGAGGTGGTTGAAAATGCAGAAGATTCACCAATGGGGCAATTGCCGACAAGGTGTATACCCTTGTTTATAATGATAGTGATTGTCTAGTCATGTGATGGTGTCATGAGGATCTTTCCTTGTTTAATCCAACTGTTCCTATTTATCTATTTTCCATGTCCAAATTTGCTTGTTTCATTTTATATGTCCTTAGTGTTATGAGATCTTTTCATATTAAATGTTTTTCCCACAAACTTTTTCTTGTTAAATAATGAGAGAGATTTATGAGGGTATATTGAGTAATATTGAGTAATCACTCGCTAATTAAAAGGAGAGATTTTAAAGTAAAGTATAAGATGTTCTGATTAATTTTATCACTCGAATGCATTTTCTTAAAAGACGTGACTTGGTCACTGAAGAGATATAAATAGGAATGGAGGGAGTGTTTTGTATAGAAGAAATGCATGCTCTAACTCAATATTTCCTGGCAGAAATTCTGAATTCTATGGTGGCGAGATAAATGCACAGGATAGAAATTTGTTTCATATGACTGGGAATTACAACTCATCTGCTGATTCACAACCTGATTCATTGAGTGTGGAAACAAGTGAAGTTTCCCATGCAAATCAGTACAACTTTCCCTCACCGAAACCTGGCTATAAATATGAGAAAGCTCAACATCTGAATGTGGAATTTAGTCAGCCTCAGACAAGCTCACAGCAGGTCCAGAGCCATGCTTCTTTCAATGCAATGGTAAGTATGTCAGCTACTTTTTTCTCTCTCTGTAATGACTCTGTTCCTTGGGTATCCTGTTATTCCTGCCTTCGTGTCTGAAATGTATAACATAGTGACAGTGGCTTTTAATGGAACTGCATTCTTATACGAGACACCATTCTGTCAGCTTAATTATATTTAACTGGAAATTCATATTTTGAGTTGGTCTTTAAAAGCTCTTTAGGTCTTTTAAGTCTTTTAATTCAAGTTTTTTACAGTAACATATTTGTTAAAAGTAATTTTATTTTATTTTATTTTAAGTACTCCTGTGTATTTTGGGAATAAGGCTTGTATGTTGTTGTTGTAGAGTACTCCTGTGTCCATACTTGTTACGGCATCGCCTAGTCGGCGACTAGGCGTCCTGGCGCTAGGGAGGGGTTGGCATGTGTCATCGCCTCGCCTGAAGAACATTAGGCGACAAAGGTGTTGTTTAGGCGAGTTCTAGGCATCTATGGCACTGTCCAGTCGTCTCGCCAGATTCAATTTTAGAAACCCAGCCCCAAAAACCAGATTCGGAATGTAGAAAATTAGAAACGGAGACCATGGAATGTAGATGATGCACTATTAACCGTCAAAATTCTTCTAAGGTAGAAGACGACCTCTTTCATGGCCTTCCGTCGACTGTCGCAAGTCGCAACTAGCAAGCTAAATGATGATTTGTTTAAGGCAGCTCCTTCGATCTGAATTAATATTGATCTATTTATATTTAAATATTTAATTAGTATTATCTTTTGGAACTTAATACTCCGTATTTAATTATTATCATTTGTTATTCTGTTTTTGCAGTGCAATTTATTTTTTATAGCAGGTTACGTTGTCAGTGTAGCCGCTATAGTATTATTTTCTTCTTCTGTTATTCTTTTAATTCCTAAACTATATTTTTTTGTATAAAAAAGTACTCCGTATTTGTATATATAGGTACACATATTACATATGATATAACTAGTCGCTTAATTGTCGCCTAGGCAGTAAGGCTGTCCGCTGGTGCCGTGACTCGCCTTACCGCCGTGACAAGTATACCCGTGTCCCCATTTTATGCAGGATAGATGTGGCAAAATTATACTTGTCACGGAGTCGCCTAGGCGTCGCCTAGTCGACGACTAGGCATCCTGGCGCTAGGGATTGGTCGCCGGGTTAACTCGCCTCGCCAGAAGAAGAGTAGGCGACGTTGGCGTCGTCCAGGCGAGCTTTTGGCGATAAGGCGTCCAGATTTTGGCTAGTCTAACCGCAGTCCGCAGGCCCAAGAAGCAGACGCGACTCACAGGAAGCAGACGAGCGTTGATCGCACAGTCTCGCAGTCTCTCGCAGGAAGCAGACGAGCGCAGATCGCAGCCTCACACTCTCTCGCAGGAAGCAGCCGACAAGTACGCTTCCAGGCCCCAATCTCTTCTCGTTTTGTCGAACTTCTCTTCTCCTCCGTCGATTGATTTTTTAATATTCTAATTAATTAATTTGTATATATACTACATATATTGTATACACAGTACGCACGCATACAGTCAGTCAGAGGCACAGAGCATAGGATGCTCGATGCTATTTTATAGTCTTATACAATTACTGCATGTTATAAAACCGTTAAACTATTAATAAAAACTACCCTGTATTATATAAAATTATAAATAATTGTGTATACAAATATATGAATTATGATATACGTACTATATGAGATAGCATTTTTACTCGTAATTGCCCTTAATAAACCTTAGTTTCAAGGAAATTTCAAACATTCAATTATTAATTGTTGTATTCATTTCTAGGTAATATACAATTTAATTAGTAATATATTATATATAATTATACATATAATTATATGTAATATAATATATACATATATAATATATTATTCAATGAACAACTAGTCACCTAATTGTCGCCTAGGCCGGTGCCTTGTCGCCTAGGCGATATGGCAGTCGGCTGGCGCCGCGACTCGCCTTACTGCCGTGACAAGTATGCGCAAAAAGTTTAAGAAAATGAAAATTATGTAGTTGAGATTTATTCATAAAGGGAAATGAAATTTAATTAGAGACGATCAAAAAGGAAAGTTGTAAGATAAAAAGGTGACAGATGGGGGGCATTTGTAATTAAAAAAACAATAAGTGAATAATGCAAATCTGCAAAGAAACTTCAGCCTCCTTCCAGACAGTGAATAACTGCACGCTTGATGACACAGATTTGGTCATTCTGATAGATATGAATCTCCTTCTGGCGTATTTCTTTGAATTTTTTTATATAGCAACCAACACATACACGTGCACGTGTAATAATTTGACATTCTTCTGCCCTTTTCCTCTAGTGACTGGACTCATTGCTTAGCATTGCCTCATTATTTTAATGAGTTTTAAGCAGTCTGGCATGCATTGCGAATTTATTTTTGTATTGATTCTCTTGGAATTTTGCTGAAACTAGGGATATACAAATTCGTTACCAAGCAATTTGTTGGCAGCTAATGCTCACGCTCTTAGGGAGTCTGAAATTTCATACTCAATATTTCCCACGCACACAATGCTCCCAAAGTATGGCAACTCAGTTTCTTCTGTTGGTGGTCAGTCTCTTTCTATGCCAGAGGTGCACATTCTTGCAATTGGCTTTCCAGTAGATATTCACATAAACATGTAATTTCCCCTTTTAATGTTTTGGTTATTAACCTGGTGCAGACTTTGAAAACAGTTGGCTCATCAATATCCATGCCAGAGGTGCACTTTCATAAAACTTACCTTCAATTGATATGCATGTATACATTTAGAGTCAGTTTGAAAAATATCCCAAACCTAAGGCTATATTCGGAACTTAGAAAATGGTATGGAGAAGAAAGAAAATGTCAAAGTAAATGAATTTTAATGTTTCACTTTACATCGGAAGATATGAACGAACATCAAATTTGAATTCATGTTTTGAAAATATACACGTTTAGATTCTTTAGTTTGTTTTTGACGGAAATCTGTAGTCTCCATTTAATAGAAATAGACAAATAAAGTGGGTTCAGACAGATAAATAAAATTGATTTATTGAGTTTGAGCATGTTTTTCATTTTCCTTCAATTTTCTTTCATTCCAATCTTTTCATCCATTTATGTTATTTACTTTCCGTAGCATTTCCATGTTTCTTTACAGGCCCTTAGGGTGACCCCAGGAAATTTCCCTAGCCCCCCCTCAACGTATTTATACAATGACTGAAGTTGATTATGTTATTAACGTGCTGCAGGGATTAAAAAATGTCGGTATGTCATCAGCACATCCACCTAGTCAGCAGAACCCTAATGGGAGTGGTCTCACAGGACCAGCTTTACCACAACACCTCAATTTACATCCATATTCGCAACACACTCTTCCTGCATTGAGTCCCTATGGCAACATGATTGGCTATCCTCCTTTTCTGCCTCAAGGTTATACATACATGCCCTCTGCTTTCCAACAAGCATTTGTGGGTAACAGTGCTTACCATCAACCATTGGCTGCAATGCACCCTCAATACAAGAGCAGTGGTGTATCAGTTAGCAGTTTGCCTCCCCAATCTGGTGGTGGCATTCCTTCTGGCTATGGTTCATTTGGGAATACAAATGCAGTTTCCGGTAACTTTCAAATGAATACCCCTGCCCGAGCTCCGTCAGTTACTTCCTTGGGCTATGATGATTCACCAATTCCTCAGTACAAGGACAACAATCTTCTAACGTCTCTTCAGCAGGTAAAGGCCTGTTTAGTAACGTTTACTGTTATTTTTAATACTTTTGTTTTGAATGTGTAAAATTTAAAACTTGTTCAGTAAATTTTATGCATATTTGATTTATATGATTTATTATGAAAGTATTTTTAACAATTATACTTTTCCTAGTGATTTCAAAATTACAAATTTATATCAATACTTTTTATATACTTGTATTAAAACACATAATTTTTATTTGTTGTGTAACTCTATTTTCTTCATGAATTAGCAAGAGCTTAAAATAAAATCTTACAATCATATATATTAATCTATAGCTAGATTTGTTAAAGAAAATATCAAAAAGTAATATATAGTGTAACTAATCCATGAATTAACTAGCTAATAAATTACCGTTTTTATAGGAGTTGCTAAAGTATTTCAAACACTAATATTTAGTGCTTAATAAAATTTACTTCCTCCGTTTCCAAAAGAAAGTCACGGTTTGACTTCACGATTATTAAGGAAATAAATTGACTTCACCGTAGAAAACACTGTTTATACACTGTTTGGCACTGTTTGGACACTGTTTGGACACTGTTTCACACTGTTTGGCACTGTTTGGATGTAGGTTTCTTTGCCAAATAAGGAAATAAGGGGAGTGTGGCTTTGTTTTTGAAACATCTCAAAAAGGAAAGTGTGAGTTTCTTTTAGAAACGGAGGGAGTATTTGATACCAATAAAATTTTGAACTCTTTATACAGTTGTATGTGACTGTTTCTTCTTACTAGTTTTGTTTCATATGTTATGCACCATTGTTTTATTAATAACAAGTAATAATAATTTCACCACAAGTAATTTTTTTGGCTGCACTTTCTATAAGTAATAAAAAAATATTGTTTATAGAAATAGGATCTTGTATAAAAGTTACAAGCAATATAAGTTTCTCAACTTAAAACCAGAAAGAAATGAAAAATATGAAATAGAAATAAGATTTTCTTTTTAAATATTATTAATAATCTATTGAACGTGCAGTTGTGAAAAAACTTTAAGTTTTAGTCTTATTTTGGCTAATAATCCTTTATTTTATTCATTTATTCTTACATTTAGTTGGTCAAAATGAAAGTGATGTTAAAAAAACTTGTAAGGGTGGTGAGTTGGTGGAATAGCTGAAGTAATAACTGAGAGATCACAAATCGGCCCTGCGAACACCTTCTTGGTCGAGTTTGTCACACCGGGATTGCCTAGTGTGGTTTACTTGGCTGGTGTGGTTTGCATGTTAATGCACTCTGAACATCAATAAGAGAATTTAAGATTGATCGACTGAAAAAATCCAATCAATAACTAGTGATTTGAAATAGGGATCATAACATCAATTATAAAATTTTAAAAGTGGGCCGAGTGGACCCAAATAATACCCTTACACCCTGATGTTCTCCTATTGCGTACGCCTCAGAGCGCCTTATTGCGTATGCAATATTGCGTACGCCTCAGTGCAATATTGCGTACGCCACACTCCCAACGCCATATGCAATGCCTTTTACGCCATAGTCTAGGAATTAGCTGAGGCGCGCCATGAGGCGCAATTGCATTGCGCAATTACAAACATTGGTTGCGGGTACCCTGTTAAAAAATATAAAGAATATAGAGAAATACAGTATGATTATATAACATAACGTATACTCGGTTGTTTTCTAGTCCAAGACTCTGAAGTAATAGAATTACAGTAGAGAGAGAAAACGATAGAAGGATAATATTCTCATTAGAGTGAAATGAAGAGTACAAAGAGTTTATATAGAGGACTGCTCAACTAGACTTAACTAACTAACTGAACTGCAACAGACTTATACTTATTACAATGCGTATAGTATATCTAACATTCCCCCCTCAAACTCAGGGTGATTGATTTGGAAGAGCAATCACACTGAGTTTGGTTCTTAAGTTAAGAAAAGATGAAGCAGACAATGGTTTAGTTAGAACATCGGCAAGTTGGTGTTGAGCAGGAATGTGAAACACTTGCAGTTGCTTCAATTGGACTTTGTCACGCACAAAAAACAGATCAATTTCCACATGCTTGATGCGAGAGTGTAACACAGGATTACATGCTAGTTGAACAGTGCTGAGGTTGTCACAATAGATCTTTGGAGTAACAAAAGGAACTTGAAGTTCATTCAGCAGAAACTGAACCCATAGGAGCTCTGCTGTGGTATCAACCATACCTCTGTACTCAACTTCTGCCGAGGATCTAGCAACACACAACTGTTTCTTGGACCACCAGGAAATGATATTTGGACCCAGAAAAATGCAAGACTTTGATGTAGATCTTCTATCAGTAGGATCAGAAGCCCAATCAACATCACAAAATGCTGAAATGGGTAGAGGCATGGACCGCATGGTGGATAAAGGAATGGGTTTAATAATGATCCCATGTGCTCCTGCAGAGGTGCAACCATGAACTGACAGACCTTATTTACAGCATAACTTATCTCAAGTCTTGTTAAAGTAGCATATTGTAAGATGTCTACTATAGATCTGTAAAAGGATGGATCAGGTAGGGAATCACTGCCTTCATGAGTAAGCTTGCAACTACTGACCATAGGTGTTTTAACTCCCTTGGAGTCTAGCATGCCAACTTGATGAAGTAAGTCTCTGACATATTTAGTTTGTGAGAGTTGTATACTGCCATCTTGAAGTTTATGAACTTGGATTCCTAAAAAGAAATCAATATCTCCCAAATGTTTAAGAGAAAATGATGAATGCAGTTTGTGAATGAGTGTGTGAATAGCAGCAGAATTGTTTCCAATGACAAGGATGTCATCAACATACATCAGGATATATATTTGAACACCAGTGGATGCAAAGATGAGTAAGGAAGGATCACACTTGCTTTGCTTGAACCCAACATTGTAGATGACTGCAGTCAGCTTATGAAACCAGGACCTAAGAGCCTGTTTCAGACCATACAAAGACTTGTGAAGTTTGCAAACCAGATAGGTATCTTTGGCTTGAAATCCTAGAGGCTGTACCATGTAAACTTCTTCATTAAGATCCCCATTAAGGAAGGCATTGTTGACATTTAATTGTTGAATAGACCAGTTATTTGAGACAACAAGAGTGAGAAGAATCCTGATGGTCATAGGTTTAACAACTGGAGAAAAGGTTTCACCAAAGTCAAAATCAAACCTTTGATGAAAACTTTTTGCAACTAATCTTCCTTTAAACTTGTTCAAAAACCATCTGGATTTTCCTCTACTCTGAACACCCATTTACAGCCAATAACTTGTTTATCTGGAGGAAGAGGAACTAGTGACCATGTATTGTTAGAGATCAATGCATCATATTCAGCCTTCATGGCAGCAAACCACTGAGGAGAGGATAGTGCTTGCTTAACTGATTTGGGCTCCATATGAGCTAACAGTAAGGTATGATTAAATCTAGGTTTAACAATCCCAGATTTGGCTCTAGTTTGCATGAGGTGAGTGTTATTCACAGGAATAATGGGTGAGTAAGAAGAGGATGATGTGGATGGTACAGGAGACTGAGATGAAGAAGTAGAGTTTAAACCAATCAGCAATGATGGTTCTGAAGGAATAGACTGAGATGAATCAGGTTGTGATGGAGTTTCTGTAGGAACAGAAATAGACGAATCAGATTGAACTAAAGAAGGAGAAGAGATATTATGAGATGTGGATGAGTTTGATTGAAAAGAATCAGAAAAGAATGATAAAGAATTTGGATTAAGAATGGTTATTGGGACAGACTGTGAAGAAGGGTTAGTATAGGGCTGAGTGATGGTGGAAGAAAAGAGAATATGATAAGGGAATAATTTAGACTCATTGAAGACAACATCTCTGGAGATATAGATTTTCCCAGAAGGAGAGAGACATTTGTAACCCTTGTGCCGGGAAGAATAACCTATAAGCAAACACTCTTCAGAGTGAAAATCCGTCTTGTGTTTATTGCAAGGCCTGATGAAAGGAAAACAAGAACATCCAAATACTCTGAGAAAAGAGTAATCTGGAATGGAGCCATAGAACTTGAAATATGGGCTGGAATTGGCATTTGACTTGGAAAGAGTTCTGTTTGTGAGATGAACTGAGGTGGCAAAGGCAGTGTCCCAGAATTTGTGAGGTAGTGAAGAATGAGCTAGAAGTGACAAACCCTTCTCAACAATGGTATGATGTTTCCTTTTAACTACACCATTTTGATGGTGAGTATGAGGACAAATGATTCTATGTGTAATGTTTTTTCAGTGAAGAATTTGGTGAAGGATCTGAATTCACCTCCCCAATCAGATTGAACAGATTTGATTGATATAGAAAACTGATTGAGGATGTACTGATAAAAGTTTTGAAATGCTAAAAGAGCATCAGATTTCTTTTTAAGGAAAAATCCATGTATATCTTGTTAAAGCATCAATGAAGGATGAAGGATCGATCCCACAGTCGGGAGGCAGCCTACCGATATTGTCCGCTTTGGGTTGCCCCTCACGGATTTAAAACGCGTCGATAGTGGTGAAGAGCCTAGGCCTTAAAAGGTACCAAGGACTCTCCTAGCCCACCGGTGTGGGATTCTTTGGCATTCCTACCGAAGAGGCGGGTTTAAGATGCGCGAGTTTCCTCGGCTCAAGGGACTGGTAGGCCCATACCTAACAAAGGAGATATAGTATGAGTAACCATCAAAGGATAAAATGGGAGCTGGTCCCCATAGATATGTGAAAATTAGTTCAAAAGGTGCGCTAAAAACAGTAGTGGAGGGAGAGAATGGTAATCTATGTGTTTTGCCAAGACAACAAGATGAACAAACATCAATTTCATGCTTACTAACAATAGGAATATTACAATGTTTGAGTACAGATTTGAGAGCCTCAAGATGAGGATGATCAAGCCTTAATTTAAATGCCACAGATTACAAGATATAGAACTATTACATGACTGAATGTTATTACAAGATTTATTTTAGGAAGCAAGTTGACAGGAAGCAAGAGCCGGAAGAGACTGAAACTTGTAAAGACCATCTGCACCCAGGACTCCATGTAACAGAACCTTCTTAGAAGCCTGTGATTTGACAAAGCATTCATGAGGATAAAACTCAAAGAAGACTGTTATCTTTGGCAAATTGACTAACACTAAGCAAATTTTTGGTTATAGAAGGAACATGAAGAATATTATTGAGAAAAAGAGTATAAGAGGGCTGACAGGGAGAGGAAAATGAAGAGAAACCAATAGACTTAATATTCAAACCTTGACCATTGCCCATAAAAAGTTAATCAGTTGTAATAGCAGGTTCACTATGTTGTAAATTTAGCGGATCAGCAATAACATGATGTGTTGCCTCTGAATCTGGAAACCAGTTGTGAGACAATGGATGAGGTCCAAGTATAGAGGAATTAGCAGATGCCCAGGCAGCAGTGGGTACAAGAGTTTGAGGCTGCTGATTCCAACTTGTTGTAGGTGCATGAGTATTGGATGGATAAGTGATAGGTGCATGAGATATCTGGTTCCAGAAAGCATTAGGTGTTTGAGATGGAGGATGACTCCAGTTGTAGTTGTCTGGAAAACAGTGTTGTTGGGTATTATTGGAAGGAAATCTTGGTTGAGTTAAAAAGGGTGAAGGCAGTGAAGTATGTGAGTTGATTTGTTGAGAATAAGATGGATTGGAAGCGATGATGGCGAGATCGGCGATGATGCTTCAACAAATCATCTTATCCTGGTCCGGACAGTGACCTGGCGGCCCTTGTCTGGGCCGGTCAATGACACGGCGATTCACTCTCGTTTTTTGAAATCATTTTTAAGTGAGGAATTATAAAAGATTCGTTGAGTTGTCAACCAATAGGGAAATGGGAAAAGAATTCGTCAAACTAACCGTCGGGACTGACCTGTTTCAATCCCGACTTTCCTATATGTGGGACCTGGTACCCTACTTGGACTGTACTAGGTTCGGTTCCGGATTGGGACGTACTTTCGGTCTTATGGTCGGTCACGGAATTAAGCGAAAAAATTTGACGAACATGTTTTTCTGATTTAAAAATGTAAAACTAAAAAATGAAAACAGAAAATTGGAGATAGAAAAATTGGAAAATGAAAGCAGAAAATTAGAGAATGGAAAACAGAAATAGAAAACTGAAAAATATCTTTGTTAGTAAATAGGCCCTAAAGTACTCTACTTCAATAATTTTTATGATTTCTACTTTCTCCGTTTTTTCTAGGGAGAGACCAATTCTGCTACGTGGCTACATGGACCTAGTTCAAGAACAGTGTCATCTATTCCCACCGCCAGTAATTATTACAGTTATCAGGTACAGCAGCACCAGCAACCTGGTGGGTTCAGACAAGCTGAACAGCAACTGCCCCCACAGAATTATGGATCTTTGGGCCACCAGAACTTGTACCATTCACATACAGGTGGAATATCAATAGACCATCATCAGCAGAAACAAAACCCCCGAGATGGTTCATTAACGGGTGGGGCCCAAGGGCATCAGTCTACGCAGTGCCCCCAACAGATGTGGCAAAACAACTACTAATTTCACAGCCCTCATGGTTTTCAGGCTAGGTCTTGTATGGAGTGTGAAAGTGACCTTTCAAGCTAACCACTTGCTCTTCGGCAATGATTTCATTGAGTTCTTATATCCTGTCCCAAAGGACCTGATTGGTTACTGCCCTAAGCCCTATTCCTAGAGAGGTTGTGCTTACATGTTCATTCATCGGTTAGTTTAACGTAGGGCATAAAACTGTTTTCTCTATATTTCATCCTTTTTGCTTTATTCTAAGAAATTCCCATGTTATAGGCTTTTAGCCACCATTCTCTCATTTGGGAATTATGGCCTGGTTTTCCCCATTGTACTAACCAGTGTGATTGTATTATGGTTGCTAACCAATTTTAATTCCTCTCATTTTTGCCATCCGGAGAGAGATATCCTTATTTGTGTACTACTTTTAGGCGTGGACAAAAAAATCAAACCAGTACTCAACCTACCTGTAATGGTACTGAATCAAATACTGAATATTTAAATAGTTTTATAGAGTTTGAAATGGGTGCGAAATAGGTTTTAGCTTTTGAGGACCGAAAAATACCGGACCGTTAAAAAATACTTCCTCCGTCCTTTAAAATTTTGTCATCTTTCCTTTTTGGGACGTCCCAAAAAACTTTGCCACTTTCCCTTTAAATCAATTATTTTGTGGTTTCTGTTATTTCTCTCTCCTCTGCACAAATCTCAACCACATAGTTTTTATTTTATTATTCTCCGCGCTGGTCAACTTTGGCAAAGTTTTAAAAGACGGAGGTAGTAATACATTGAAGAGGAATCAGAATTGATGTCTTCTTGGATTGAAAGAGTGCATTTGAACGATTGACGTCTTTTCTACCTTCTCTCTTTTTTCTTTTATTGTTCATCTTCTTTATCGTTTTATATTGTTATGTTGTTTTATCTTCTAGCTTTTTATGCTCTTTTATTTTTTATCTTTTATCTTTCTTATGTTCCTGTGTTATTGTTATTTTATATTTATTTATCTTTATTTTACTCGTTTTATCTTACTTTTTTTCCTTCCCTTTCTTATCCCTCTTCTTTGTTTGGCATCGATATCAGAGATCGATTCATGTTAGTCGACTTCAAATTCTTTTGAGATTAAGGCTTGGTTGTTGTTGTTGTTGTTGTCATCCCAGATTCCCAATAATTTTTTTTCACATCAATAATTTTATAGTCTATGTATGCTTTCATTCAACCTTAAAATAGTTAAATGTGTTAAATTTTGTTATTTTTTTTATTTTGGATAATTTATGTTATATTTTGGTATAGATAAAGTTTTAAAAATTACTAATGACTCAACTTTCAATAATGTAGCTGCCTACATGTTGTACTTCTCGGGTTTTTTAAAAATTGGTATATTGAATTTTCTTGTTGTATGATGACAAAGTTTGACAAGTGATATCTTTTACAAATAAATTATTTAAAGTATGAAATTTTAATGAAAATATTCTTTGTTAAAAATGTTTTCATAAAAGTATAAAAATTATAAATTTCTCATGAGTATAATAATTAAAATAATTGTTCAAAGTTTATTGTCATGGATCATCAAAAGTCAATTTGACAAAGTTTTATTGGACACTGACACACAGAGAGTATCATTCTTGTGTAATCATTAGTGTAATTTTGTAGCATAAATAAATATGTGTTGGGGTAATTGGCCCAATATGAGATCGCCCCAATACCCCATATGGAAAAGGGGTCAAGAGTAAAGGTCTCCACAAGGTAAGTTTGATGCTCGTTCGATGTACGTGAGGCTCATCGCTTCTACCTTTGCCTAGTTTAGGCCAGGTAGTCATTTGAGGGCTTCATTGGAGACGCTAGGCAAGGCTTGAGGGGCATCCATGGCCTTATGTTTGCTTGGGTTCAGGTTCATGAAGCTTTCGGATATGATTATCCAAGACATTTGGCGGGAAAGTGAGATAGTGATGGGAAACACATTAAATGCACCTCATATGCAAGATTAAACTAGCCATCATGTTCCTCACATCATCACTACATTAATCCATGATAGTATAAATAGCAGCATTTATTTCATAGTTAGGGGGTTGACAACTTGTATTCACTAGTTATAGCTCTTATTCTTTGTACTTGTAGATCAGTTAGACGCTCGACTTGGATTCCAGTACAGTGTGCTGTAATTGTTCTTGATTAATAAGAACTCATTGTTGTGTATTGGATGGATAAGTGATAGGAGCATGTGATATCTCGTTCCAGAAAGCATTAGGTGTTTGAGATGGAGGACGACTCCAGTTGTAGTTTCTGGAAAGTGTTGTTAGGTATTATTGGAAGGAAGGTGTTTCTGGAAAGTGTTGACAACAACACACCTCTAAATTGGAGTGAAACTGTCATCAAGCAACCATTTGTTTCACTATTCAAAGACAGTAGAGAATCGGACAAGAGCATTAGACTGAGATACATTAAGCCTAAAGGGGACATCTTAGACCTCACTAATCGAAAGATATCATCCATGATTGAAATATGGGGTCATTGTCTTGTTGTCTACATTGATGGCCGCTTCCCCTGGCTAAGGAATATCCATTACATGGTACAAAAGTGGGGAGTCCCATGTCGTGAGATCACATGATAGGGGGTGGGTCATATTTAAGTTTCATAATGAAGATGATAGAGCTATAAGCCAACTTTTCTACCAAACACGTAACTTTTGATTTCGCGCGCTGAATTGTTAATAATAGAAAAAGTAATGTTGGAGTTACTTTTATGGCTATATTGGCTGAAGTTATTGTAGATGACAATTTTAGCTACTTTTACATATAAATTCTTCTTTGATTTATTAATAAAATATATTTTTAATATTTTTTTCACAAATCAAGAATCAGCCAGTTCAATCGATTCGCCCAGAATTTCATAAAATTCAACTGATTCAGCCGATTTTGATATTACCAAACGGGCTCTTATAGTAACATGCAAAATAGTGAAATTACATTAAATTCCAGCAACTTCACCACCAAATGCAAAACAAAGCAATCACTCCATTTCTCACATGAATATCTAGGAAAATTTCTCACAACAAGTTCGTACAATATCTAGGAAAATTTCTTGCAATGGAAATGGTCCTGAATGGCACATAAACAAGAAGCACCCCACCTTTGAATGGCCCATGATCATTTTAAGATAAGCTCATCAACGTTCTAATTAGGAATCCGACCCGCGAAAGGAACCCACAACCAGGCTAGGCTGGACAACATACCTCGAGCCCGAGCGGAGTTCTACCGAAATCAGACTCTTCCTAGGGCTTATGTGGCAGACTATCATTCGAGCATAGCTATCTGGCAACATCAAGAAATAACGGAAGAGACGTGGACCTGAGGGAACAATGATTGCACAAAGTTCGAGACGTTACAAGACACTTATTATAATTAATTGCATTAAATGTATCAGTTTCCTCCTACAATACTAGGACCAAATGTCTATAAATACTTCTTGTATACATCCTACTAAGAATCCGAATTCCGTAATAATAATAGTGTCTTACGTTGCCTACATTTCATCTGCTCACGTAGATTAGTTCTCGTAGTCGAAATTAAACTCCGTCATTTGGTGCTCTCGTTGAGAGAACGATTTACGACGATAATGGTTGGACCGTTGGACGCACAGTCACAACAGTGTTGGTGGAAATCAAGGTGGTGCTTGAATGGATCAGGTCATGATTGAAGATGAAGGGTCTCACTCACAGCGGAGCGATTGTCGAAGGCGAAACGACAACATGGTGACTCAAGGCGACTTGAGGAACCACCTGCAAGGTGCCGGGAGCTGTAGGCGTCCCGTAACACGTCTGCCACAGTTTCCAACATTGGCAATCGGGAATCTTGTTCCAGGGGTGGATCCCGCACAAGCTCTGGCTAGTTTGGAATTGTTTGAGAGGGTTGTGGAAACCTTGACCATTGTCTTCCAAAGAATTGTTCGCAACACAATCGAAAGGCCTTTTTCCCCACGTCGGGTTCCATCTGTGCCCCAACGGGAGGAGGAAGTATCCATGCAACGTCAGAGCAATTCACCGCGGCTAGGTCTCAACGGTCTCATCATTCCAGATAGACCCTGAGGACTTCACTAAGGGATAGAATTGGAGGGTGAAGGGTCTCCGTACATGACAGGCTCTCCATCAGGGTGGAATGAAGTGACGAAGCATCCTTTGCGGCCGTTTCATCCCACCGTTGCGGCGCGCGTTGGGGAGATCTCAGAGCAGAGATCAACGAACATTTACGAGCCCGCAGAGATCACACTTCCCCACCCCGCATCTAGGTCGGCCAGGTTAATGACGACCTCAGAAGGCGACTCGACGAGCTCAGAAAGGCGGTAGATGGCAGGATCAAACTCAATCATGATGTGAGGATTCTCGAGCCATTTATCCGTAAAATCATCGACGATCCATTGCCACAAGGGTATAAACCTTGTAAGATTGAGGCCTACCGAGGGAAGACCGACCCCTAACACCATGTTTCTAGGTACATGGCCTACATGGTGATGATGGGTTACAATGATGCGATTAGATGTAGAGGATTCTCAATGACACTAGACGGGCCAACCCGGGAATGGTATGACTCCCTACCTGACGGGAGGATTCAAATTTTCCGGGAATTAACCCAAGCATTCATTGCACGATTTGCCAGCTCCAAGGATTCCAAGAAGAATTTATCTCACCTCCTGGTGGGTCAAGCAAGGACGCCAGGAGACCTTGACCGCCTTCCTGGCTCGTTGGAGGAAGGAATCGATGAAGGTTGACGGTGTGGATGACAGATCTGTTGTCACAATCTTCACTAGCGCCTTGAGGTCAGGAGAGCTCCACAAAGATTTCGTGCGATAGCCCCCGACCTCACATGATGAAGTCCTACGGCGTGCCGACCGGCAAGCAGAAGTTGAGGAGGCTGAAAAACGGAAGAGAGAAGAGGAGGAGGGGAAGCACCAAGCCGACGACGGAAAGAAAAAGAGTTATGAGAAGAAGATTTTGTGACCAAGATAAGGGGAATGAATCCAAAAGGAAAAAGAAGGGCTGGGGAAAGAACAAGTCGGGCGCACCCGACAGACCTCTATCCAGTTAGTCAGATTTTCCCCTCTGATGCATCCAGTGAGCATAATTTTGGATTACGCGGCCAAACAGGGTCTGGTAACATTGTCCGACAATTGCAATGTTATCAATAGCCAGGCTACACGGGGGAAATATTGCAAACTTCACAAGAGTGATACCAGAAGATGGCACAAAGCTGCGATGTAAGGGCCTCCAAAGCTCATGGAAGGAGTGATGTTAGAGTCAATGCCATTGAGAAAGACCCGTCGAAGCATGAGGAAGGGCAGTTTAGGGCTCAGCCTGTCTCAGATCTTGAGGAGGTCTGAGTCGATCCTACTTGACCAGAACGTCGGATTAAGATTGGAGAAGGGCTGCTGAACGACCTAAGAGCAAGAATAATCCAGGTCCTAAGAGAGTTCAAGGTGATCTTTCCTGGGGTCCCGAGGATATGCCAGGGTTCGATCAGAGCATAGCTGTGCACC